ATATTGGGGCAAAAAATCGCAATTAGATTATTTTCCATAATCGTTCAGCCCTACTAAGTAATTAACTAATGCTAGAAAACTTGTTTAGCATCTGCATAGCTCCATAAAGTGTATGGCTGCATTGCAAAGATTTTTACTCGCATGTAAACATGCATTTTAATGCTGTAGTGTTTGCCATTTTACATGGGTGTCTATGGGCACAGCTGCTCGGTAAGAAGAACTTTCACCACTGCTGTACTTCTGTCCCTTACACAGCGACCCGCTGGTGACCAAGCTGGACTTCGACAAAGAGCCCACTCCAGGGCCCAAACGTTACTCCATACCCGATGACATCCGAGAACCACAAGTGCATCACAGCGTTTCTGACAAGGGGGAAGTACAGGTATGGTTTTGTTTAAGGAATTACAAGAAGTGGTGATAAGACGCATGCGAGCTGATACAATCACAGATGCAGTCATGCTGAGCTCTCTGAGAATCTCCTGTGCGTAAAAGTCCACCATGCTGGGCCTCATTCCTGTCAGCTGGAAGGAAGTGTGTTGTTGCCAAACAAGTGAAATTTAATTTAAAAAATTAAAAAAAAAGGAAGGAAATATTAGATTGTTACGCACTGAGAGAAATGATTTTTGAATTATGTTTTGTTAGTTAGATTCTTTAATAGAAAACCTTTATTTCTCCAACGTTAGTTTTCATCTACAGAGAAACACTAAAGACTAAATTTAAAGTCACAACAAATAGGTGACCAGCACTGTTTTCATATTTACCCTGTGTGTCTCTTTCTGTCCTTCTGTTCTCTTGTGTTTCCTCTCCGCAGGATGCACTCGCCTCGTTTGACTTCCTCAACAAGAGAATCAGCACGGTGATGAAGCCAGATATGGATGGAGTGGTGCACCATGAGTTCCAGCATCCTGACCTGGAGCTTACAGCCATTCAGAAAGACACAGAGATAAGGTAAGGAGGGTCACTGCTTGCCATGTATATGCTACTTTAAAGCTTTGAATTGGTTTCCTTCAAATAAAAAAGGACTTACTACTCAAAACAAATTACACTGGGTTAAACACTGCCCCCTGGCTTTGGCTCCATGTCACTGAATTTTCATGGTGGTGTCTCTTTCCTTGTTTTGTTTTGTTTTGCTGTAACTTTAAAGTTTAATGCAGGTTGGTTTGGAGTGAGTGAGTACACTGATGTATGCACTGGTCTCCTTCTAGGGAAGAAGAGCCGTTCCAATTCAGTCTCAAAGACTTTAAATGCGTGGCAGTCCTTGGACGGGGTCACTTTGGAAAGGTACTTTGAATAAAAATGCTGCTGATTATTTTCTTGACATTTCTACTATATTACGAATGTTTAGTCAATTAAAAAAAAAAAAAAAAAGAAATGTTTGCCATAAATTTTCTGTGGACTGAATAACTTTTAGTAGACAAATCAAGCAGGAAAAAACTGAAGTGTTCATCTCCTCCACAGGTGCTTTTAGCAGAATACAAAAGCACTGGCGAGATGTTTGCCATCAAAGCTCTAAAGAAAGGAGACATTGTGGCTCGCGATGAGGTCGACAGGTACTCACTTAAAGCTCTTTCACAAACCCCCCACTGTCAGGTCACTTCGGTGTAATGTGGTGACTCAGCTTCCTCCTCTCTTTGCCAGTCTGATGTGCGAGAAGAGGATCTTTGAAACGGTCAACAGCGTCCGTCACCCGTTCCTGGTCAACCTTTTTGCGTGTTTCCAGACGCAGGAGCACGTTTGCTTTGTGATGGAGTACGCGGCTGGAGGCGACCTGATGATGCACATCCACGCTGATGTTTTCTCTGAGCCCAGGGCTGTGTGAGTGTCTTGTTAACGTGTGGGCAGGACCACAAACTCTCACAGCGGCACGTCGTCTAAATCTCCTGTGTTTTTTGTACCTTTTTGCAGGTTTTATGCAGCCTGCGTTGTTTTGGGATTACAGTTTTTACATGACCATAAGATTGTGTACAGGTAAGGCCTGAGCAATTTAAAGTAATACTTCAATTCAAAGTCAGGGTCCCGAAAGTTATTTTTGCTCTCATTGCAATTTTCAGAGATTTGAAGCTAGATAACCTGCTCCTGGATACAGAGGGCTATGTAAAGATTGCTGACTTTGGGCTTTGCAAAGAAGGTAAATGGATGATGATGTCAAATTGAAACTTTGAGAGTTATTGAAAGCATAACCCTGTGGTAGATTGTTCACTCCTGTGCTGTAAGATCTTCAGAGAAGCAGAGTTATGAACTTGCTCCATCAGTTGTTGGAGGTACACATGTAGATTTGTTTTGGAGTGATGGACGTGCTCTGTGCTGCCTTCAGGAATGGGTTTCAGGGATCGCACCAGCACGTTTTGTGGCACACCAGAGTTTTTAGCTCCGGAGGTGTTAACTGAAACGTCGTACACCCGCGCCGTGGACTGGTGGGGCCTGGGCGTCCTCATCTTTGAGATGCTGGTTGGAGAGGTGACCATGTGTTTCGTCAAGATGTCAAGAATCCATCATTTATTTCTTGAATATGTTCCTTACATCAGGTTTTTTGTTTTTTTTTTTTCTCCTTGGCACGTCTCTCTTTCAGTCACCCTTCCCCGGTGATGATGAAGAGGAGGTATTTGACAGTATTGTCAACGATGAAGTCCGCTATCCACGGTTCCTCTCAACTGAGGCCATCTCCATCATGAGGAGGGTGTGTAGACAGACAAGAAACGGTCTCTTTGTGCTCCTGGGTGTAAACTTTAACATTATATTTTTTGTCTTTGTGCTCAGCTTTTGAGGAGGAGCCCAGAAAGACGGCTGGGAGCAGGAGAAAAGGATGCAGAGGAGGTTAAGAAACATCTCTTCTTCAGGGTAAGAGGCGCAAAGAGAAAGTTATCACTGTGGTAATCAAAGAAAAGAACGCTGTTGTTACCCACTCGCTCTCTGTCTTTATTGATAGACCATCGATTGGACCGGGCTTTTGGCCAAGAAGGTGAAGCCGCCGTTCGTCCCGACCATCCTGGGCTCCAGTGACGTCAGCAACTTCGACGATGAATTTACCTCAGAGGCTCCAATCTTAACCCCGCCCAGGGAACCCCGAGTGCTGAACTCCGAGGAGCAGAACCTGTTCTCTGACTTTGATTACATCGCTGACTGGTGTTAGCTCCGCCTGAATCTCTCTCACCACACACACACACACACACACACACACACACACACACACACAACCACACACACACACACACACACACACACACACACACACTGTGAACCAAGCACAGCAATGACTGTAGATCCCAGTTTTTTGTTTTTTTAAATCCTTAAACAAGAACAGACAAACTCTTCCCTGCCCCTCATGTTTGGGGAGGAGCTTTCGGGCAGAACTGTGTGCCATTGAGAAGAAAGTCCAGATGCCTCCTGAGGACACACACTTACTACTTCTTTTTCTTTTTTTTTTATATCCACATGAAGAACTTTTCTTTCTTTTTTTTAAAGGAGAGGGGAAAAAGAATGAATTCTGTTGTTGGAGAGTGAAGCAGGCGGGATGTCCTCCTGTACAGACTGCCATCGTGTCCGTTGTCTGACCACTGAGAATGTTTTCCACATGAACTCTGAGAAAACGGCAACATCACAGTCATGCTATTTAGAGTCACTGTTTTCAATTTTTTTGATCTGTACAGATAATATTCAGTCGTATATTTTATTGTTTTGTTTTGGTTTTTTCGTTAGTCTCGAAGCCCTCGCCGTACCTTATCTCACTGTAAAGTTCTGCAGCAATCGCATCTGAAAGTGGCGCTCATTGAATTTGAAGTGCTTAAAGCATCGTCACTGAATAGTCAACAACAACAAAACATCTTGACGACTACTACTGCTTCTTGACTTGAAAACAAGTAAGAGTATTCACTACATATTCTTTTGGGTCTAGCGGTCCAGTTTACCTCCTTTTCCTCCCAGCGTGTCCACCTGAAGCTTCCATGTCTTACACACCGCCCAAACTGGTAAATGAATTACTGTTTATTTTGAGCCGAGTTCATTAAAATGCCCGTTGGCTGGGGAAAAAAATGATGAAAAACACTAAAATTATCTTGTCTGGTGCCCTCTAGTGGCCTCGCTGCTTTTAGTGACCAGCTGTGGAGTTGATACAGTATCCAGTCGAGCATCACGATCAAACCATAACATTATATGACTGCTGGTTTTGCGCTTTGATTCCTTCATGTCCTTACAGAACAACCATGTGTTGGACTTGACTTCTTCTTTCTTTTACCTCAGTAAAGACACTAAAGCGTCTCGCCCAGTTACAGCTACCGAAACCAAACTCATCCTGTCCTCCTCGGGAGTAGCAGAGGAGCAGCTCTCTGTAGTTTAAACAATCTGACACACTGAAAGTTTACATAAAGGCAGATTTAATGAGGTGGTTTTGTGCAGAAGTCGGTGTCCTCAGCTGTTGCTTTGGAAATGAGGCTACAAAGCTCATAGTAACTTCAGGTCTCCATCCAGAAGCCATTTGAAAGCTTCCTGTTGTTCAGGTTACATGTTGTAGCTGACATAGGGGGCACGGCACTCTGTTAGTGTGGCTGTTCTGTATAAACTGACTCAAATGTTGCAGACCTGTTTATGAATCACTACAGGGGGAGGGCAGGGTCTATTTTATATAAATATATATACATACTGTATGTACACAATTAAGCTGAAAGCACTAATTTTATCAATAGTTTTTAATTATCAATGTTTCTTAATGAAAATAGATTGTACAAAGTGTTTGTGTTTTTTATTCTTTTGCTTGTGCATGTTGTTGCCAGAACAGATGAACTTTATGGATGGTACACCAAGTACTCACAGCAGTTGCTCTTCATCCTCCGGTGTAAAAAAACAAAGAAAATCAAAGGCATTGTTGCAGTCATTGTTTGTTGCCCATCACGAATGCACAAATTAAACATTTGTAACAGTGACTTTGTTTCTGGTTTTCCATCACCTCTGGAAGTTTGAGGTCATCTCCACATACACAGAAAGTTTAGTTTGATCCAAACACTGACCTGGTTTAAAGAGAAATTTTATTTTTATTTAAATTACCCAGAACAATTCAAACACTAACAAAATAGAAACTGGTAATTTTCTACAAAAAAAAAGTTTTTGTGTACAGTAGGAAATCAGCCTAAAATTGCAAGTATCAGTTACACTTCCCACTTGGACATATATACATTGTACAGTATATACACTCAAATGAAATACTGCAAGTACAGTCTGCAAGCTGTTTATTTAAGTACTGGAATGTGTGTCCGTTGCACCTGTCAGACTTTGGTGTCGTCTAAGGCAGGACGAGAGAAATCTTCCAAAACCAACACGCATCATTTATAAAAGAAAAAACAGCAATAATAATGGTGATGATCTTGTAGGTACAGCAGAAATTGTTGTGCTGTACGAGAGGAGTGTTCTTCACAGTTGGGGCAGTTTATCAACAGGTGTATCAAATTTGAAGTCTGGGGGGAAAAGCTCTGCAGCCCGTGGGTAGATGAGTCGATACGACTGTCTGATCGTCACATCTGCAACACCAGCGATGTCTCCGATTTCTGTGGAAGAGCATGACAGACAATTCAGCCATTCCTAGAAGTATATGAGGAATGACGCCAGTGCATTTTTCTTAACAGCTTTCTTGACAGTAAATACAGAGCTTTAACACTCCTGACGTTTTTAAAGCGGTTAAAAGTTCTAACTTTGAACAGAAACGAGCATTGCATATATGATGGAAAAAAAGAGGGGCTTTTGTGACAGAAAGAAAGAAACAACTTAAAACTATTTCTTTCTCCAAAAATGGTACAAGGTCTGGACTGAAGAGGAGTAAAAAAGCAGCCAATGCCCAAAAAACCTTTGAAAGGCCTTCAGAAAGTCTGGAGACCTATTGCTCAAGACCTCACAAGAAAGTCTTTCTCCTTGGAAGCAAAATATAAGGAAACGAGGCGTGGATCAAGACTTAAAAATGGCGTGAAAAATCTACCTGTTGTCTAACTCCAGTCCATAACCTCTTACCTTTCTGGGTCTTCTTCTCTGCTGAAGCTTGGGAAGCCATGTAGATGGCAGCTGCAGCTACAGAGATGGGGCTCCTGCCAGGCACCAAGTCGAGTTCCACGGCCTTCCTGGCGATGAAGGTGGCTGCCATTTGCACCTGTTTGGGTAAGCCGAGGTTGGAGCAGAAGCGGGACATGAAGTCCCCGGTGGTGATGAGGTCTACGCTGGTCTCCAGTGCCTTCAGGATCAGCTTGAAGCACCTACCGATCTCTTTCTTTGAGATCCGGGACACAGCGCAGATCTCTGCAGAGGAAAGGAGATTTTTAGGGGTGGTTGGATGGACTGCAATTACTTTTTTTTTTTTAAGGTTTTATCCTTAAGCACATCCTACACTTCTGCCTCCTGACTACTCCTGTAAATAACATTTAATAATGGCACCGCATGAATAACAAACAGTCCTGTGTTGGCGTATTCCATGAAAATGTGAGTGAATAAGTTCTTTATGTGAATACATTTTGTCCTGAACACAACAGAGTTATATATAATCATATAAACAACGATAGTAAATTACTCAAAATCACACAAGACAAATTTATTCTGACCTTTAAAGGTTCGCGGCACACCCTCCTGTCTGCAGGCGATGTAGAGACAGGCTGACGCGATGGCATCATTGGCTCGGCCCTTCAGGCTCTTCTGTTCATAAACCTGCTTAAATAAGTTGTTTGTTCTGTCCTGAGGGGAAAAAACATTATTTACACTTTAATTTCAGTGTCATGGATTTTATGCTTCTGTTGGAATTTAACTGCATGTTAACAGTGTGATGTTTGTCTTTACATGACCTTAAAACAGGGAAGTCATTTCGTTTCAGTTTAACAAAGTTGCTGAGCCCTATATTTGTGGCTCTTTTATGACACCATTTTGCTTAATTTTGAATGAAAATGATATGATCGTGTCTGAATTAATGTTTAAGAACACGACCATAGCCCACGACCCTTTTGTTCCTTAATATGAGAACATCCTCACAAGGAAAACTGCGTGACAGCTTCAGCTGAGACTTCAGTGCGAAAAACAACAACAAGAACTTTGATAAAAAGAACAAAGGAAACAAAAACAAAAGCAGTTTTTTGCACACAGCAGGATTTTTTGTTTCTTGCTGCTCTCCATTAGCAGTCTGTTAAGTTTTAACATCTCATTAGATTCACTTTCTATTTCACAGGCTGTCACCTGTTCACAACAATGACAAAAAGCAGATGGGCAACTTTCTCTGCTCTCAGTGAGACTGTTAGGCCACAGCAGAAAATATTTTTACAGGTCCTTATTTTTTGTTACTTACTACGATGTTCCTCGGCAGGTTGATGCGATCCGCCATGGTGCTGATCTCTTTGAAGGCGTTGAGCATGGCCCGGTCAGAGCTGCTCATGGTTCTCCTGTTCTGGTACTTCGAGTTCCCAAATTCATCAAAGCTGGCAGCTCCTGTTCCCTGTGGAGGTAAACGGTGCACGTTTACCAGTGAAATTATTTCATGTGAAACCACAGTAACGTCAAATAAATTACAGCTAAAAATTAAATTCACTCAATATTTTTGTACCCAAATTGAGCCAGTACACTTGACTTCTTCATTCAGCCACTAAAAGTAATTTTTCTGTTCAGCAATGTCAGTAAATAAGTAATTTGCAATCTAACAATAATGTGCTTTGCTATTTTTTTCTGCATTTGTTAAGTACTGTACATTCTATTACAGTGGATGCTTATTTTAAACAGAATTAAACATTGGAAATATTTAAATGATGAAGTCCGGCTATGTGAAAGTGATCCCTGAGCCAAACGCTCAGAACCCACACTGCTCTAATTCAATTTATGATGTCAAAATTAGGGGACATCCCCTAATATGGTCGTTGAGGCTCACAGGACAGCTACCGGTAATCAGAAGAAATTTTGTGTAAAGGGGAAGAGCTAATGACATCCCGTGACATCATTTGTATGCGACACAAACGCCACAATACAGGTGGATGTCGAGGTGCTGCTCGGTCTGTGGCTTTTCCTCAGACTCGGGGACCACGGTACAGTTTCTGTGTAGTCGGGTTTAGCAGGGTTTCAAAAATATTGGTTTTGATTTTCCTGATGGAGATTCTTTCATGTCTCATCGAGTAATGCCGCTGACTAGCTATTCGTTGCCATACAGTCTGCTGACATCACATTTTTGGATCGCCTTGGATTGTCCCAGTCAAATAGGAACTAAAAAAGTACCTCCTACCAGGTACAATTATTTAGTCTCAGGAAAACCTTAAAAACAGTGTCTAGCTGTGTTAAGGCAACCCGAGCACATACTAATAGAAAAGCTACTCTAGCAGCCATCTTTAATAGGGTAAAAACAAAAGGTTGGCTTTTTATTTCAAACAGTGTCTCACCTTGCTGATCATGGTGGTTAAGTCTCCTCCATTGAGTAATGGGTTCTGGGCGTCTCCCACTCTGGATGGGTCCTTGAGGGCTTTCTCATTAGAAAACGTTCTCCACTCTGAGCCCACGTCGATTACACGATCACCTGAACATATGATTTGGATAACTGAATAAAGATTCATTTAATACAACATTTACTATTCAAACTACAGCTGCTACAGCTGAGCTGCAACATTTCACTGTATTACAGCTTGGACTGAACGAGGCGTTTCTGATGAAGCTCCAGCTTTTAAATTGTTGCTGATTATATAATTTTCTTTAAATGCTTAAGATTTAAAGTTTACTTTCAACTCGATTACCTAACACTCGCAACTTAATCTTCAGCTGCTTGTTTATCTGTTTTGAAGTCACATCCACTGCTCTGAAAACGGTTACTCTCTGACAGATATAACTGACACTACAGAAGGTTTTCAGGGATTCACCAACACTCAAAAAGCTTTGATGGCTGCTGGTGTTCCTTGTGCCTGGTAATATTTCATCCCTCTGAAATACGTCACCAGAAGATGGTGCAATAATATAAGCAAATTCACTCAAAGACATGCTCAGAATTTAAGTTTCAAACACGGCTGCTACTATGTCAGTCCTCTATTGTCTTTCTTTGGCTCTTCCACTACACTACTACGCTCCATTACTACTACTGCGGTTTTGAATATGGCTCAATTATTTTACACCAAAAAGGAAAAGATAGGGGTGTGACATCAGCAATGAGGCAAACTGTCTGAACAAGGCCATTGCATTCTTCAAGTTATTATGACTGTCTCTTCCAGGAACTGTGTACTGGGGTTGAAGATTAGATTTGATATTTTAATCCTGTTTTTCTTGCCATCCATCAGTACTCCTAATATCTCGAGGCAAAGTGACATTCATCTCCTTAGAGGCTAACCAAAGCTATGGAAACGGGAACAGAGGGCACTTAAGCTTGCATTAAAGGGCGGCGGGCGTCTCTATTCTCTCGGCTAACCTGCTCTGTCCTGAAGGGGCTCATTAGAGGAGAGCTTGTTGCTCCCTAAAGCTTTGTCTAATAGCAAGCATCAAGCTTTTTGCCTCTTTAACTCTATCCACAAGACAAAACCTGTCATGTCACCTGACATCTATGGATAATTTTAAACAAAATATTTAATTTACTTATACACTTTTGGAAAATGTGGCCTTGCATAGCTTGGAATTGAACTATGATGACAAAGCAAATGAGTTCAGGAAGATGTGTGCTGAAAAAAAAAAATTGTTCCGTTTAGTTGAGATAACAAGTACAGGAAACCAAATGCAGGATGTGTTCAGTGGAAGCTTGATCTAAAACCATGTATACTTGCCTACTACAAGGCCACATTCAGGGCAGATCATGTCCCCTGCTCTGTAGTCCTCCACCAGACAGGCATCAGGGTGGTTGGGACACTGAACTCTGGGAAGGGCCATAACACCTGGGCTGCAGAAACAAACAGATAAGAGGTCAAAAGCAAGAAAAGTTTAAAAACAAAGGCAAAGATGGGGAGGGGCAGAGAGAGAATTTGTGTTCAATTCATGACACTAAACATAATTTTTACCCACAAAGTCAAATCTAAATTAAAAATAAAGATTCAAACGGCCAATTCACAAAAGACTACTCAGAGTAAAACATGGGAAAATAACACCAACTGTTCTGAGAGGGCAAATTTACATACATACAGACTACGTTACAGTCTAAATATACTTCACCTTTTCAGTTTCCTTTCCCTTTTTGTGTTTCAGAAGAAGTGCCTAACTGAATGTTCACCAACAACACATTTCACAAAGCAAGTAACAACATCAAAAACACAGAGATAGTAGCTAGCAACAGTACTTTAAACACAAGGCTGTTTTGGTGACAGGTTCATCTCACTGTTCTGATAATCTTTAAGACACACTAGTGTTCAAAGGTTTGAATTCAGTCATAAACCTAGTGTTTTTTGTTTTTTTAACTGTGTAACAAAACACAGGGCATGGAACAAGACATGGGAACAATACACACACAAAGTAATATACTGGTATAAACATTAATATGAGATTGTGTGTGCCGCATGGATGTTTACAGCTCTACTCTGTCTAAAAGCTGGGATTTACAAACATGATAAGAAATAGGGGGCCGGAGATGGCAGCGTAGAGGTCTGGCACGATCAAACTGACTTGTACACAAAATAACTTCAACCAGGACTCTGTGTGCTCCCCCAAAAAAGCTTGAACTGGTGATAAAGGACTATAAAAGAAAAAAACGAATGGCTCACAACAAGCATTAATCTGCTGGATGTTAGCAGAAATGCGGTGTAATGAAGAACAGGAAAAAAGATCTAGCAAAATTCAAACTACGCTTGACCAAAAGTTGAGCAATTTAGGTGATGCAGCAGAAATGCTGGTCAACAACAACCACACAATGCGACAGAGTTAAAATAAACTGAAGATAAAAAGCCACCCACACTAAAATTCTCAACTTCCTACATCAAGAAATTAGTGACTGCTGTGGATGCTCAGGTTAAATCTGTCTCACTCTTTGATCACTGAAGAAATAGTGTCCTGTTGAGTTCCACTGTGTCACTCTTCATCCCTTTATCACGTATGGATTACTACAACTGTCCACATACCTAAGCAAAGCCTCCCAGAAACATCTGCAGGTTGTTTAAAACGCCTGTTCTGACTGAGTCTTCCAGCTATTCACATTTCACACTATTGTTAATTCGGTTGCACCGACTCCCCATTAACATCCACGTTAAGATCCTGAGTTTGACTTTTAGGGTTATGCATGAACAGGCACAATTGTACATCAGTGAACTTTTACATCCCTAGCAGGTTCCCTGAAATCATGTGATCAGGGCCTGTCGGCTGTGCATCATACAAGGCTGAGAACTAAATGAGAAACAATTCAGACTCTGGAACTCTCTCTCCCACTGAGCCTGAGATTGTTGAACTCTTTTTTTAAAAAAAACAAAACAAAACAGCAGCTTAAAAGATTTTTAGGGCATTTCACACAATTTTTTTTACCCTGGTCTGACTCAGCTGATAAGTTTGCAAACTTGTAGCTCATCCCCGTGGTTTGGTTTGTTTTCACACAGAAAAATTCAAGTGAATGTCAAGCGAATAAAAAATGCGTCACAACAAATCATATGAGAATGTTCAGTCCGGTCACTGGCCAGATGTGTCTGGGGTGGATTCAACAAAAGTAAATACAAGAATAAGGTGCTGTGTGAGAAACCCGAGAATTTATGTTCATTTCACGGTTAGTTGAAAGGAGATATCCTTGAGTTATATATATATAGTTATACATTCTTACTTAGTTTGGGTAATCTGTGAGAGTAGTGGGTGTTGTTCCTCGTCGCAATGACGAAAAGTAACAGAACAGTCAAGGAGTGGGAGGTTTCTGATTAAGGGTGGATGAAACAAATAAGGTATCCTTTTTATCCGTTTAATCAAGAGAAATCCACATCTCTTTGACAGATGCTTGTCAATACATGTGGTGGGTCAGTAACCACACAAGGTGTTATACACAAATGTACATTTCTGTCATTGGCAAATTAAACTGTAAGCCACTTTTTTTAGATCATGGATGGTAATCTCGTCATTGTTGGTGGATTTCTGATTTATATCACATTAGGGGTGGGTTTTGATTATCGATTTTCTGTGTTTTATCCTAAGTTACTTTGATACAAAGGCATCTGCTGTGATGCTTACACCTTTGATAAAGTCTCACAAGTGTCAGCTTTCTTTTTATAGGTATAAAAATATGGCTATGTACTGATAAATGATAAGAATTATAATATTTCTGACTGTCTGAGGCAAAATTTCACTGATTCAAATCGAATCCATTCGGGACCTTGTGAATCGGAATCGAATCGATTCTAGAAATCTGTGATGACACCCAACCCTATAATACATACGTCCAATATTGAATTTGAAAAAAAACATCCATCGGTTCTTTACATTTTGCTAGGAAAACATGAAATACTAAACAATAGCAATCATTAAAAGAGTGGATGTGAAACTGTCAGTCAAATTAGCTCAATCAACTGCATTTTACTCCTTCATACGCACACCCTTACTGTGCCACTGATAGGAAAATCAATAACGTAAGAAACTTTAAATGCAAAAATTATTTGCTAAACTACAGTAATTGATTATACGTGCTTAAAGGAGGGTACGTCAAACCACTGTTGTGTAAAGGTAGACGGACTCCACGGGAAACTGCGTGTGTTTACAAATGATTCACAACTGCTCACTGAGTGGTAACGTCAACAACACATTAGCTTCAGTTTCAGCTACACACCATTGTAATACACGAAAAAAATTGAAATGGTGGACAAACAAGTCTACAATGCAAAGACGATAACGTGGCAAAAAGCAGGAGCATCAGCACCACATCACTGTGCAACAAAAACACCGACTTCTGGTGACATCTAATGATTAGCTGCTAGCCAGCTAACTAGCTGTGCTAACAATTAGCACAATGAAACGAACAGCGATCGGTAAGCACAGCGACGTATATTGTTTTAGCTTTAGTAACCACGACGCACACCAGTATTTGTTCTTATGAATTAACATTCTTAGAACCATATGCAAAGAAAGTATAGGTATTACATTTACTCGGCTCTACCACTTACTGGCTTGTAGACGCCATGTCACTCCTCGCTCTGTCTCAAATTCAAAGAAACAAACGAGTGCGGCACCTCTATTTATAACTTCTTCGATCACGTGTCCATATGAGTACGGGAAGAGAAAAAGACCAAATTAAATACAGGTAGCCTTCGGTTTCTTTTACGTTGGGCTGTAAAAATTCGTTACATAAATACGCAATATTTGTTTTGTTTTTAGGAGATTTTCATTTATTGTCAAGAATGACGTACCATTGTAACACCATTAATGTGTTGTCATTACAACACATTAATGGTTTAGCGAGCTAAGCGAGCCTAACGTTAGAGTTTTCTGTGACATGAACGTGTCTGTTTATTTGGCTAATGACCAAACCGTACTAAAACCACTAAATGAAGTGCAAAGTGGCTTTCACAGGAATGTGGATGCATTATAAACACCTATAAAAACGTAAATAAATGTTGTTATGTTGATTCTAATTGATTTCTGACTCCAGCTGCAAAAACAGAGAACACCACGAATTTCGTCAATAAAATTATTTCAGTTTGAACTACTGACAAACTACAGTGACTTTCAAGCATCCTTCATTACACCGTGGGACGGTAACAATCAATCAATCAATCAATCAATCAATCAGTCTTTATTGACAGACTTTATGGCCATAGTTAAACAAAACAAAAACACAACACAACACAACATATAATCCTTAATGAAAAAAATATTTTTAAAGATATAAAACCATGATATACATAAAATACACAATTACTTAAAAGATAAGATAAGACTTTTTTGATGAAATTTTTGTGTTACCTCAGCTCAGGTTCATATATCAGAAGGAAATACAAAAATACAAATAAGTACAATCAATGAAAAAAGTAAGATAATACACTATATACAATGGTAGCATACACAGTATGTGATTATGGATATGGTTGGAAATATGCAAGACATAAACTATATAGCTTGACATAACTATTGTACCACTATTATTCCTAAAGAAATATTCCTAAAAGAAATCAATAAACACACAAACTCTTCACACTCAGACTGAATGAGTAACAGGAACCACTCACTGTCAGCTTTGTCACTGCTAAAATTATACTGGAATAGTATTTGCCTGAACAAAGAGTTTCCACATTGTCCATATATGTCATCATCATTCATTCATTCATTTGATCAGTAATAAAGTGACCAAGGTATTTCACCTTTTATGAACCTCAAGAGTATTGTCGGACAGTTTAAACACAAAGAAATTCAGCTGTTTATCTTGCTTGGTTCTACATGTCAAGATAGCACTTTTAACAGCATAGTACATTATATCATATAGCACACCATATTCAGTACATGTATTAAGAAGCTACTCTAATCCAGCACTACTTGGACTAAAAACAACCAGTTCATCTGCATACGTATGATGATTCATCAATGTTTTACCTAATATACATCCAGTGTTACAGGTTCTCAGCTGTATGGACAATCATTATCAACGTATAAATTAAATAAAATTGGAGACAAAATCCCACCCTTTCTGACACCATTGCTAACACAAAAGGAGGCAGAAATCCTGCTTCCCCATTTAACCAGCATCTTCTTATGAGCGTACCAGTAAGACAGAATCCAATGTATCCAGGAACTCCCTGTCGCTTCAATTTATCAAAAAGTTTTCCAGGGTTCACTCGATCAAAAGCTTTAGAGGCATCAATGAAACCCATAAGGGCAGATGAAGTTTAGGCCCTATTCAAACTGAATGTTCCCTTGAGTGCATATATGCACATGTCCGTGCCATGCTTTCATTTGAAGGCAAACTGATTATCCAGGGAAGAGATGAACACACTAATGCTATCAAACAAGATTTTTTCTAGCACCTTAGATAAAATACTGGCTAGTGCTACTCAATTTAATAATAATAATAGATTGGATTTATATAGCGCTTTTCAAGGCACCCAAAGCACTTTACAATGCCACTATTCATTCACACACTGGTGGAGGCAAGCTACGGTTGTAGCTACAGCTGCCCTGGGGCAGACTGACAGAAGCGAGGCTGCCATATCGCGCCATCGGCCCCTCTGGCCAACACCAGTAGGCGGTAGGGTAAAGTGTCTTGCCCAAGGACACAACGACCAGGCCAGAGAGCCCGGGGATCGAACCAGCAACCTTCCGGTTACAGATACGCTTCCCAACCCCCTGAGCCATGGTCGCTCCAATTTAACAGCTGTGTCCTTTGTAACTGCTACAAATAAAATACATAGCATTGAGTCTGGTAGTTTGCCATGAATCATAAACCTTTAATGTCTAATTGTATGCAGGTTAAAGTTTCACTGTCATGTTTTTAATGTTTGTTTGTCTTTTATCTCTGACTGGAGGCGCTCATGTGGATCGTTTTGTGAGAAAGAAGAGTCATGGGCCCACTGTTCTTTACCAGACATGTTGGAGACAAGTGGTGATAATTGGCACTGTGCCTTTTCGTACTTGGAAGTGTTGGTGACTATGTGGTGATCTCCTTTGAATTTTTTCCTGTAAGAGAATACAGAGAGTAGGCCTACTCGAACCTTAGGGCTAACGGATCCACACGGCAGAAAAGCCCAGCAATATCAACAATCTCCTCCTATCCCGTTATCTCTGGTTTGTGTTGAGCCAGCTAACACAAAGAAATCGTGGCTATGTTGAACTTCACTATACCCCTCACATTGTCAGATAGACCACTAAGGCAAACATTTAACTACCGGCCAAACCAGCCTATGCAACAGACACATGGTACTGCATAACCTAATAAATACAAACCTCACATTGCACCAGACTGTGACACAAATTGTGACTGTGGTTAGCCTGTGTTGTAACACAAACCCATCAGTGCCTCAATGTTTGAGAAAAGTTAACTGAATCTTTCACACTTCTTTATTTAAAACAAATCTTTAAACTGCACAGTTTTCTTTTCATAAGAGGCAACAAAGGTCTGCCAGATTGCTGTCAGTTTGTCTGTGTGACTCAGTACCAGTCTGTGTAATAATTCTTTGGCATATGCAGGAAACCACAGTTGCAAAGACTCAGGTTTTGTGGTAGCAAAATAAGATAGACATCAGGATCTGAAGCAACTAAACCTGAGTGAGATAAACACAAATATAATTGTGTTTGCAACTTATATTAATGTCTGTTGCTTAAAGAAAATGCTTTCAGCTGCAGTCTGCAGCGACTGCATTTTCATTACATCAGCGCATAAGCCAGGACAGTCAGCGTGCATCAGGACAACACCAGATGGAGCTAAAAAATTAAAGCAGTGACTGAGGTGTGGAATATGCACGTGCTACGAGAGCTCGGCAATGCTTAGCATGATTACAGTTATTGATCATCATTCAGCATGATTTGGTTCAGATTTGCTTGAACAGTACCACGACTGTGAGACTGTAACTCTTTGATGAGTGTATACATCTTATATCTGCAAAGCATGGCTGATTCTGGCTCATTGAAAAAAAGCTTTTGCATGGTTATCCTACCAGTATGACTTTAAAAAGAAAAAAACAAAAGAACACTCCAATGTGTTTCAGCTGTTCAGGAAATGATACAGAGGACAGCTGTGCACTGCGAGATAATCTCATTTTTTGCTGCACAAATGATATTTGCCTGAAACATGGCCTCATGTGATGCGTTTATAAATCTTTTAATATGCAATAGCTTTATGAATATTTGAAAAATGTTATTAGTAATGATCAAAACAGAGGCAACGCAGAAACATAAAAGAAGACCAAGAGGAAAATGTCTCTCTTAATGGTAATTTAGTAACAATGACAAATATAACATACATACATGTGCAGAATTCAGCGGTCTGTGAGGTTTGTGACTGTGCTGGGGTTACAAAATGCCTTTCTTACTCAAGATCCCTTTAACCTTTGAAAATATCTTTCACTTTACACCTTCAAAACATTCCAGATTGTCAGGCTTAATGTGTGGCTTTAAGTGCTCCTTCAGCCTTTTCTCCCTGTTTCACTTCCCTAAGAATGGCTTCTTGACAGCCACACTTCCACTGGGACCATTTCTGATGAGGCTTCAGAGAACATTAGATGGATCAACTGAAAAGCCAGATGCACCTCTCATGTCCTGTGTTAGATTTGTATTGTTGATTGTCATTTATGCTTAGAAATATCTACTCATGTATGCTTAGAGTTTTATAATCAATGTCATGTTGGTAGTAGTAGTAGTTTGATCCTTAGTAGTCTGTGGAGACTCTGTGTGCCTCCCAGAGCACTCTGGCATGCACACACAACTTAAGGTCAGGAGAGAGGTTATATCTGCTCTTACTGATTTATGGTATAGGAGGACACCTACTCTGTATCTGGTTAAGTATAAGAGCCTTTTGTTTAGATGGACTGCTAGACTCCTGGCACCAGCTTTGGGGAGTCTTCACGGGGTCACATCTTGACCCCACACACACACACACACACACTTACACGACACACACAGACAAGGTATTCTTTGTCCACATGTATACCTATATGAAACGTCATATGTTAATGAACCTATGCATATTCATGTGACCGCAATAAAAGGAGTGCTACAGGGAACCTGGCTGAGAGTCTGACGGAGGTCACACAAAGAACTTTGCCTACTTGTGTCTTGCTTTTGCTGTGTAGTAAATTGTCTTGAACATTCCAGCGAATAGGTTTATGCTACAAACCTATCATACTTCACTGTGCAATACCTTTTGTGCATGTTACGGCCGAGACCGTTTTGGACGAGTGACAGGACTCAAACGCAGGACGCCGAACAGCTCGTAAGTAGATTTTAAAAATAAAGTTTAATGTTTCCACAAATATTCATAAACAAAAAGGTGAGAGTAGACAAGTACGAGTTCCACCACTAAAACTAAGTAATGATCTGGTCCGGGTCAGAGAGGACAGCTATTCCAGGGATTGGACTGGAAAGCAAGTCACATTTGATCCAGGAAAAGGTCGGGGTCACTGTAACAGAGTGCAGATGTTCAGATACGGATAAGGAGACATATGAATATGTTGCTGGTTCAGAATCCTCCTTCGTACTGCGTACTTGCCAAAAGAGGTCGGAGATGACGTAGAGGGGTGAGTAGTCCGGGTGTGAAATCCAAAAAACTCCTGGCGTGGAGGCAGAG